CTGCCCTCTGCTCCAGGCCAGCCCGGGAAGTGCCCTTTCACACCAGCTGGCAGGTGGTATCTTTCAGTCTTCCCAGTCAAGGATAGCCTAAATTTACTTAGTTTGAAAAACTAAACTGTTGCTCTACAAATTATATGCTCAAAGTGAAAGAGACGGGAAATGTGAAAACCAGAGTGAAACTGTCCTGTCTCAGCCAGAGGGAGCCACGTTGGTAACATGGTCAGCTGGCCTGGGAGGTCATGGTTTGCCGTCTGCTGCTGCAGCTGCTCCTTCGTCCACCACACCCTGTGCAGCCACTGAACTGCCCTCTTAAGTCGACAGGGGACGTGTGGGCCCTCATGTCTGGCTGACTCCACCCTGTGGCAGGTGTCAGTGCTTTGTTCTGCCTGCAGCTGAGTGATGCTCCCTGTTGAGTGGACCACTGAGCCATCTGCTAGCTCGGGCTGTTCACTCTTTTGGACTTTTTTTTTTTTTTTTTTTAAGAGAGGTGAGAGAGAGAGAGAATGAATTTTTTAATATTTATTTTTTAGTTTTTGGCGGACACAACGTCTTTGTTTGTATGTGGTGCTGAGGATCGAACCCGGGCCGCACGCATTCCAGGCGAGCGCGCTACCACTTGAGCCACATCCCCAGCCCTCTTTTGGACTCTTATAAATAATGTGTGAACGTGGGTGTGCACATCTTGGTGCGGATGCATGTTTTTGCTTCTTGTGGGCAAATGTTGATGAGTGGGGTCGCCGGGCCACATGGTCAGTAGAGGAGCTGTGCCAGCATGGCATAAGCTCTGCAGCCAGACTTGGTCACCTGAGTCTAGTCCACCTTTGAAGCTGGTCCCTGAGAGGGAACTTAGACTGGAGGGGCCTCAACAGAGGCTTGACTGTCCCAGCCCTCACCCGGGCCATGTGACAAAAGGCCAGGGTGTCCACAGTAGATAGGCGGGTGTTGGGTGAGGGGCCCAACATCCAAGGGACTTCTGTTGAGAGAGGTTGGGGCTGTGGGCTTGCTGCAGGCACCAGGGAGGACTGGGTCCCAGCTGTGGTTAGAGGTGATGCAGCCTCTGACAAGGTGAGGGCTGGGTTCCAGTGCGGCAAGCATGGACTTGAACCTCCCTGGCCTCTGTCCAGCGAGACCCCACTGAGGCCCAGGTTGTGCTTAGCTGTGGATGTGCTCTTCCTGCTTCCCACGTGAAAGACACTCAGCCTCACCTGCCTGCCCCACAGGGAGCTGGAGGAGCAGCATGGGATCCACTGCAACATGACACTGCTCTTCTCCTTCGCCCAGGCTGTGGCCTGTGCTGAGGCAGGTGTGACACTCATCTCCCCCTTCGTGGGGCGCATCCTTGATTGGCACGTGGCAAACACAGACAAGAAGTCCTATGAGCCCCTGGAGGATCCTGGTGAGCTGCCTTTTGAGGTCATTTGTGCGGGGGGGTGCATGTCAATGAACAGTGAGCTGCCCGTGTGCCCCCAGAACAAGGTCAGAGACACAGTCAGGGCAGGGTGGGGGGACCACGGCTCAGTGCTGCTGGAGCTGTCCTGGAACATGGCTAGGTCTCTTCCAGGGGTAAAGAGTGTCACCAAAATATACAACTACTATAAGAAGTTTGGCTACAAGACCATCGTCATGGGTGCCTCCTTCCGCAACACGGGCGAGATCAAAGCACTGGCAGGCTGTGACTTCCTCACCATCTCACCCAAGCTCTTAGGGGAGCTGCTTAAGGACAGCACCAAAGTGGCACCTGTGCTCTCAGCCAAGATAGGTAAGGCCCTGGGCCCAGAAGAGGCCACAGGCTGCACAGCCCTATCTCTGCCCTGGTGATTCTGTGGACCCCTTGTCCAAGGACCATGCGGCACCAAGAGGCAGGGAGTGAGGCTTGGCAGAGGGCTGTTCCCCTGGTGTGGGTCAAGTTGTTGGCAGAACCGTGCAGACTGTCCCTTGCAGGGGACCAAGGGCTTTCTTGATGGTTACACCAGGCCTAGAGCCTTAGGCCAGCTGTGGGCCTGAGGGGCCGGGCCAGGCACAGAGGGCTGTGGTGTCTCCCCAGCCCAGGCTAGCGACTTAGAGAAGATACATCTAGACGAGAAGGCCTTCCGCTGGCTGCACAACGAGGACCAGATGGCTGTGGAGAAGCTCTCTGATGGGATCCGAAAGTTTGCTGCTGATGCTGTGAAGTTGGAGCGGATGCTGACGGTGAGTTCCACATGGGCAGGGCAGCCTCCTTGGCTTGACCCCGGGAAACCAGGCCTGGGAGTCACTTGGATCAGGGCACAGTTGGAATTCTGGGGACCCTGGGTCCCACTCATCTGCCATGTGTTAATTGACCTACCTGCCCAGACCGTCCTGGAGCCTGGGAAGTTCTGGGGACTCTCTGGCCCAGCCCATATGTACAGTGGCCTTGGTGGGGGTGCCAAGGATTTACTGTGCAGTTCACTCTGTGCTCATTCCTAGGAACGAATGTTCAGCACAGAAAATGGCAAGTAGTAGTGTCTGAGGCTGGACCCCAGACCTGGGGCTGACTGCACATGGCTTGTGATGAATCTTGCATTTTTAAAGCAATCGGAACAGCGATGGATCATAGGTTTCTGATTTTTTTTTTTTTGTAAAATTTGCATACTGCATTAAAGCAATTGCTTTTCCTGTGCTGTGTGTCCCTTGTTCCTTCAGCACCAAGTGCCGTTGACTATGACCTAGGAGATGGGGTTAAGGGCAAGATCCCTGATGATGGCAGTTGGGATAACCCAAACTGTCACAACACACGACTAAACCAGTCAGGGTCATGCCAGGTGAACTGGGCTGGCATGAAACAATCAGAGGCAGAGAAATACCTTTTCCTTTGGGTTCTGTGACAGCTCCTTTAACCCAGCTCCCACAAAGGAGGCAAGGTGGGGGGGGGGGGAGGAGAAGCCATTCAAATGAGGCAAGGGGTAGGATTACAAAGGAACAGGTGAGTTACTCAATCCCAGTGGTTATGCCTATACCTGAAGCCATGCCTTGCTATCCAAAGCTGGGACAAGGCCCAAGTCACTAATGTAGTAATTGGTCAGAGCCCCCTGTGTCAGGACTTGAAGGTCATCTGAATGGGGCAGCTCCCAACACCAAGCAATTGCATCTTTCCTCACTCAGAGCTGGTGGTTACAGGCCTTTAGCTTGGAAGGTGGGCCTTGCCCTGGGGTGGTCGCAGCCAAACCTGAGGGCAGCATCAGGCACCAGCGAGTCAATGGGATTTCTGCTCTGGGTCCAGGCTGCCCTGTCCTGAGCAGGTTCTGGTAAGGCTGGTGGTATCACTTGTGGGAACAGCAACATGCACTGGTACCAGTGTCACCCACATGTGGAAAACCCAGGAAAGCAGAACATTTATATCAACCTCGGACGGCCCAAGCACCTAGACTCTAGGGCCAGAGCCTGGGGAAGCAGTTGGCAAGGCCCCAGGGCTGGCCAGTAATCATGGAGTGCCTAGGCCCACATAAGGCCCCACCACTCCAAGGCAGCCACCACCTTTCCCCACCAAGCTTGAGCCTGCCTCCAGGGACGCTAAGGCAAGTAGGGGTGGCATGGCCTCATGCCTGTAGACACCCGTGTCCAGCAGGTCCCTCAGTCCCCAGCAGCACAACACACAGGCAAGGGCCAAAGCCTCTACTGCCCCCAGCCCTCTCTACACTGGCAATGTGCCTCCCAGCTGGAGAGCAGCAGGGCCTTCAGGGGACACCAGGCTGTAAGCTTTGCGGATGTCAACTGCAGGTAGTGCTTACCATCCATGCGCCCTCAACACTGATCAGAACCATGAGATACCCACTCAGTTGTTTCTGGATGTTTCATGTAAACACTTGAAGGCTTTGGTGACTGAGTGCTTTCTCAGTGCGGATCAGGCCTGCCTTGTTGTATATTAGCCCCCCCCCCCCCCCCTTTTTTATGGCCAAACAGCTCACTATGGATACCGTTATTGATGGACACTAACAGAAGACACTGATGATATTCCATTGTGTTAAGCCACCATTTGTTGAGGGCCACAACCAAGTCAAGATGGCGCGTGGCACTTTGCCAGGAGGAGTGGTTTGTGAAGCAACGCCAGCGAGCCATTAAGATGATGGGGATTCCTAATTGGCTGACTGCTGTATCTAGATGATGTTAATTAAGTTAAGCTGTGTGTAATTAGTTAAGTATATATACCTCTGCTGTCTGGCAGAGAAGCGGCTCCTGCTATCTCGGGTGCCTGCTACTTTGAGTTCTCGCTCAGTTCCCGCTGAGTTCACTCGCAATAAAGTAGTTCCCGCTTCAACCTTCAAGTTGCTTGTCACCTCTCGGTTATGTTGCCCAGCCGGACTTCGGCAACCATTTGTCCTTTATTTATTTCTTGTGATCCTAGAGATGGAACCCAGGGCTTCATGCATGCCAGGCAAGTTAAGTGCTAATCACTGAGCCACACCCAGCCCTGTCTATTCTCAGTGATTAACACTGCCATGAACACCCATGTACCATTTTTATGTGGGCTGGTTGTTTTTCTTGGGTAGATGTAAGCATGCCTTGCAAACACTGGGCATGTGGGGAAAGCCTCATCCACTCAGTGGCCACTTTTTCTACCCCTTTGTGCTCCTCTTCCCCAGCCTGACACCCCACCCCCAGCCCCCAGAGGCTGGGCCCAGTCAGCACACCTTGCATCTTCAAATCCATGTACACCTGGATCTGCACATGAGCTCAGGTGCAGCTGACCAGGCAGTATCTCTGAACGAGTGTCAGCAGTGCTGTCTCCCCAGAACTCACAGAAACTTGACCCCAAGGCAACAGCGTTTGGAGGTGGGACCTCTGGGAGGTAATGATGTTGAGGGTAGCGTGCCCATGAATGGGACCAGTGCCTTGCAGAGGGCCCCAGAAGCTCCCAACTCTCCTGCCATGTGAGGGGCAGCCAGAGGCCCCTCTGGAAGCCGGGAGGCCAGACACTGGATGGGCCACACTTGGACCCTGGACTTCCAGGCTCCAGAACCATGAGATAAATTTCTGTCCTCAAGAAGTCACAGGTTCGGTTTACTGTTACAGCACCTGAAGAGACCAGGATGTCACATCACCAGAGCTCAGGGCAGATGGTGGCGGCCCACGGCCTGAAGTGGGGGTCTTGAACAACTTCCCAGTGTGGGCTGGGGGGTCCTGGTGACCTGCTTCCTTCTGCACTTAGACGAGGGGCCTCCCACAGGTCCCTGGCACTGGGAGCCTCCCTGGTGCCTGCCGTGGCAGGTCAGGGATGGGGCAGAGATCCAGGTGTAGGGCAAGAGGAACTGAGCTCTTCAGGAGCACCCACTCCAGGGCTAATGGGCTGCTCGCCAGATACCCCAGAGGACAGGCAGCAAACAAGCTCTATCCAGGAGGAAGTGGTCGTGTACTGACCTGGCGTTCCCAGCAAAGGCCTGTCCAGGGTTTGGGAGGCGGGGACTCATGCCATTCCCCTACCCAGAACCCACCCATGGCCACTCCACCCAGGTGGAGCAGGTGGAAGGGCTGGGGGCTCAGCTGCCAGAAGCCAGAGACCAGAGGGCAGGCTGAGGGAAACAGCACTTGTTTCCCCCCGCCCTCCAGTACTGGAGACTGAACCCAGTGGTACTCTACCACCGATCTGCACCCCCAAATCACCAGCATCACTAGAAAAAGAAACCCACAGCAGCAAGGGGTAAAAGAAGGCCAAGTTCTTCAGCATGACTCCTGGCAATTTCAACCAGTGTGGGAAGCGGGGCTCCCAGAAAACTGTTCACATTGGCAAGGGTCAGACACTGGAGGAAGCTCTGGCCTGCCAGCCCGGTTCTTAGCCTCTACCAACAGCTGAAGGGCAGGGCAGTGGCTGATCACAGGAGGCCCCTGTCCCTGGTCCCTTGCATCCAGCACCCTCCTGTGGGTGGTGAGCACTCTGAACTCTAACCAGTCCTCCCAGGGATGCAACCTGCAATTCTTGAGGACCACCCAGCAGCCAGCACAGTACCCATGGCACCCAAGGGCATCGTCCTCACAAGAGTTGACACCCTCAGGGCTGATTCCTGCAGGCATAACAGTCCCAGGAGCAGTGGGGTCCTCAGAGGACAGCAGAAGACACAAGAGCAAGTCCAGCTGCTTTGGGGGAAGCCCAGATGAATGCAAAGAGGCAGTGTCCACCTGCAGGCTTATTTCCTAGGGGACAGATGTGGTTGAGTCTCAGGTAGCTGTAGTGTACACCACAACATGGCCTGGTGGAGGGGCCAGTCAAGGCAGGAATCCAGCCAAAGCCCTTTCCCACATACTCACCGGCTGCTGCAGAGGAAGAGCAGGTTCTGCACAGCAGGGACAGTGGAGTTGGCATTCTGTCCGGTGACCAGGTGGCGATCCAGCACAACATGCACAGCATCTGGCTCGCTGGCTAAGAGGACCAAGGGTACAGGCCTTAGGAGCTGCATACCCCAGACTCACTCTTGCCACTGAGGGGTTGTGAGCACCAGACAGCGTCCAGTGGTCATCTGCAGGTCGGCCTGCCTGGGGCTGAGCCACCAGCCACAGGAGTCTACAGGCACATAACCTGGGGGCTGGCCTGGCTGGCTGCTCCCCAGGATGCAGCAAGTTACCCCCACCCATCTCCTGTGAACGTGGGGTGCCCACCCAGCTCACCACTGAAGCCAGCACCCGAGTCCTTCACGAAGTCCTCTACCACCAGTGGCAAGCGGGCGAAGCCAGGAGCCCTTACGAGCTCATACACAGAGGGCTGCAGGGGCAGGGGGCTGAGTTAGACCCACAGCCCCCAACCACTCTTTTCTTATCTGGTAACCACCCCTGTTCAAAAGGTTGACCCTAAGGGTCAGGCAGGTCAAACCACAGTGCATCAGAGGAGACCCTCACCCATCGCACAGTGGTGAGGAAGCAAGATGAGGTGGGGGCTGCTGCTGAGGCAGATGGCAAGAGACCAGGGCAAGGCCAGCCACCCTGCCCCATGGGGTGGCCCTGGGAGACAAACCCACTACAGCTAGAAGGCCTGACTTTCCCGACAGAATGATGAGCTGGCAGCCTTGGGGTGAGCCCCTTCCTGGCCTCCCATAGTGCCCACACATGAGGGTCTGACCCCAAAAGGCCCCAGTCCACCTCCACCCTTATTTCCATGCGCTCAGTTCAGAAAAGACATAGGGACAGCAGTCACAGCGCCCACAGGAATCTGACTGAGGATACTGGCTGTCCCTGAGGCACTCACCCCTGTAAGGCTGTAGCCGTGGAACACCCAGGACCCGTCCTCACTGGTGGCACAGCACAGGGCAGCAACACCATGGCCGATGGCACAGATGGGCTCTGCAAACAGCAAGGCCGCCCAAGGCCCTGGACGCTGGCCTGGGCTTCCACCCCCCCAGGAGCTCCCCTATGCCCTGGCCACCTGGCCACCGCCCAGAGCATACTTCAGGACCAGGTTTGGCCTCGGGCTCGGGGGCTGAGGTACATGCACAGGCAAGGTCCCCAGGGAGTTCCAGGCCCATTAACTGACTGCAGATGGCCCTGCCTGCAGAGGAAGCCCTGTGAGGTGGGGAAGATACTCCCAGGTGGTGCCCCAGACCCTCCCCAAGGGCTCCTGGCACTGGTCCAGGAACTGGGTGGAACCCTGAGCTGTCTGCATGCTGGTCCCTAAGGGATGTCCTGCTCCAGCCACTGACATGCCCTTCATAATGCCCCCATCCCCACCAACCCCCTTGGGAGCCCACAGGGAAGGGACCAAAGAGCATAGTGTTTGGGGGATCACTCCCTCAGTGTGAAGAGCAGAGCACACATCCACTGGCCTGTCACAAGTGCCTGGCTTTCCACACCTGCCAACTGGCTGGAGAAATGACCACACCCCACCCAGCATCTGCCCACCCATCCTCCAGTGTCTTGTCACCTACTGCTCTCAGAGTGGAAGTGCTGCAGGATTCGGGCCAGAGACCCACTGCTAGCCAGGTCAGCCAGGGCCCCAGGACAGCTGGGGATCAGGAGGGCGTGGTACCGGGCACCTGTGGGGAGACACTGGCCAGGAGGCCATGTATCAGTCACAAGGGTGTGGCCAGGGAAGACTCTCCACAAGGACCCTCGGCTCCTCTCTGCCACACAGGCCAGAGGGCATCACTTGTAGCTCCCCTACACAGACTACAGGCGGGGGCCCCATGCAGACTCCCAAGTGCCCAGCTGGACTTTTTCTTCTCCCAGAGGAGCTCGGGAATCCTGGAGCCCTGATGTGGACTGGAAACTCCCCTGGACAGTCACAGCACTTCAGGGTAAGCCACAGGGTGGATTCAGGGGCAAACCACCTGAACCCCCTAACCCTTAAGCACACCACCCAGGGGCAGGGGGAACATGTCAGCCCAGCAGGGAGTGGTCTCGGCCCACCGTCAATGGACTCGAGCTTGGCAGGGCTGGCGTAGGCCTTGAGGCGGAAGTCCTGCACCCAGCGTGCATTGCTCTCAGTCACATCCACGAAGTCTATAGCCTTCCCCTGTAGGAACAGAGCCCAAAGGCTGAAGGTCAGCATGGGGGCGGGGGATCATCCCACTGATGGCTCACAGGGAGTCTAGAACACTGACCCACTGTAGACCCTCAGGGTACAGAGGCACCTGATAATGCAGTCAGCTTCACTGGCTGCCCTGGGCAGGGGTCACCCATGGATGACCCTGTCCCACCAGCAGCCATACAGATGGGTCAGGCACAAGAAAAACAACTGAGAAAAGTCCACAGAACCAGACTCAGTGTGGCAGCCAGGGCAGTCCCACACCTGAGCTGATGCACCTGGAGGTCTCTACTGTAGCCCACCACATCCTACTCCCTCTTGGGCCCAACCACTAGCGGGTAGGGAATTCCTCCTAGAGGAGACATCTGTGCATGTCCCTTCACAAAGACCGGCCCTCCTCTCTCAAAGTCCCCGCACCAGGACCAAACCTCTCTCACTTGAAGATGTGTAAAAACAGACCACAAGGAAAAATTCTCCCTCACCTCTGTGGCATCAGAGCCCAGGAAATGGGCACCAGGACTTGGAGGAAGCACCAGATTTTGTTGCAGACCCCTCACCCCAAGCCAGCACCCTCTGGGTCATACTAACTGCAGAGGGCTCACCACTCCTAAGAAGCAATGGCACTTTGTGGCCTCACCCCAAGAGAGGCAGGGACCTCATGTATCCACTGGAGACGGATGGCTGAACTTACCCCAGGAGTCGCCACCTGCAGGTTGAAGGCAGCACTGGCCAGCGTGAAGCAGTGGAGGAAGGACTGAGCTGACACTCCTGCAGGAGAACAGTTCTGCTAGGTACCCCCACCCCAGGAGGCTGCCCAGGTATTCCTCTCCTGGTCCTGGAACCGCCCTTAGGAGTACCCCTTCTCTCCCACTCCAAGGCCCACCTCTTACAGCCCTTGGACAGGACAGCAGCCCTTCAAGTCCAGGAAGCTGAAGCTCAGACGATGCAATCAGAGGTGTAGTGTACGGCCAGGTCTGTGCTCTGCCAGCCCTGACCAGAGACCTGCCAGCTGACCAGCAGCTCAGCATTGCCCTGGGGCCTGCTCTCCCTGAAGCTGGCCACCTCAACCTGGACCCTCAGGCCCCAACTAAATTGGGGGCAGGAAATAGCCCACCTCAACTGCCCACACCCTCCTCTTCTCTCACACAGCCACTACAGGCCTTTCCAAGGGAAAACCCAAGTATGGGTTCCCTTTTACTCAACTCTTTCCCAGGGTCCAAGGCACCCTGGCTAGGAAAGAGAGACAGTGAGCAAAGCTTGCTCCCATGGAGGTGTGGCTGTAGCCAGAGGCAAAGGGACAGCGTTGGGTATCCTGGCCTGAGGAAGGACACTCCAGGCCCAGGGTCCCTTCCTCCACTGAGCTCTGGGCTTCTGCCACTTCCACCAAGCTGTTCCCAGCCCACTTCTGCCTGCCAAAGGACCTTTCCAAAAGAAACACGGCTGGGCTAAAGAAAAAGCTCAGTGGTCAAGGCTTGCCTAGGATGCAGGAGGCCCTGGATTACATTGGGGGGGGGGGGGGGGGAGGAGCAAGGCCTGCCAGGTAGAGAAGCCTCTAGGCCCAGAACAATATTCCACTACCAGGGAATGCAGACCCACATCACCTTCTAAGGTGCTAATGTCTTCTCTTCCCTTTTCCTCCCTCCCTCTTTTCCTTTGGTGCTAGGGGTGTTTTTACCACGGACCTACACTCCCAGCCTTCTTTATTTTTTATATGAGACATGGCCTGCTGGCTAAGTTGCCCAGGCAGACAGCGAACTTGCAATCCTCCTGCCTCAGGCTCCTGAGTCGCTGGGATTAAAGACCTTATCCCAGCCCAGCTACAGTGCTGTGACTTGTACATTCGTTCAGTCCCGGGACCCAATCCCTGAACCTCATTTTCTTCCTTATGCACTCTTGTTAGTTAACACACATTGACTGCAAAATGTCCACGTAGCAAAGACAGCCAACCTCCTCAAACCACTCCCAGCTTCTGCCCACGCAGTTCTTCCTACTCTCACTCCGTACCCGTCCCGTCCACGGCCCACCGAGCCCGCTGGACTTTTCAGAGCCGTCCAGGCCCACGTCCTCAACTTCTTTCCTGGACCACAGCAGGAGCCTCTGGAGATTCTCAACCCACACCTTCTGGGCTCCTCCAGCCTCCTTGGGGGGGGGGGCGCCTCACTTGGGCTCCGGAGCTCAGCAGGCCCCATCCCCCCACCTCCGTGACGGTCCCTTAGCCCCCGTAACGTGACCTCGGGCTGGTCACTTACTAGAGGACCCACGAAGGAATCGCGCGCTCGGCCCTCCCCCGCCGGGGACCCAGTGCGCGGGCAGCGGAACCCCGGTCTGGGCGAATCCCTGCGGTTCTGCCCAGCCGAGCAGCCTCTGTGCGGAGCACGTCCTGCGCGAGCGCGAGGCCGAGCCCGGACCAGGGGCACGCGAGGGCCGGCGCCACCTTCCCCGCCGCAGCCCGCTGCAGACACCCCAGGCCCGCGTGAGGTCCGGAGGGTCCCGGTCCCGAGTGACGCGCCCGTGCAACGCACCTTCCGCGGCGCCGCTGGCCACCAGGAGGCAGGCGGGCCGGCTGGGTAGCCGCTCGGACGCCATGGCCACGGGACGACGCCCGCCAGCGCGCGTGCTTGCGAGGGCGCGTGCTTGCGAGGGCGCGTGCGAGCGCGGGGCGGGGCGGAGCGGGGCGGGGCGGAGCGGGGCGGGGCGGAGCGGGGCGGGGCGGAGCGCGCCGCCGGAGCACGCAGGCCACGCGCCGCACGGCGCATGCGCACCTGTCTTGGCGCGCGGGCTCGCGGCCGCAGGCGCTGGCCTCCCCAGCTGAAGCCGCTTGAGGACCCCCGGACCCTGCGGCGTCCGAGTCCGCGGACCCGGGTAGACGCGGCCGGCCCCGGTCCTTTCGCTCTGCCGCCAGCGCCGGCGGGGCCGAGCGGGCGGCAGCGTGGACCCGGGGCCAAGACCCTGCGGCAGACTGGCGGCCGCCGCGTCCGGAGGTGAGGGCCGCGGAGCCGGGTGTGGCGGCGGGGACATCACCCGAAGGGCAGGCCTGTCACCTCAGAGCCGTTGTGACTTCGCGGTTGCTCGGATTTTGCGTGCGCGCGGGGAGGCGGGGGTGGGAGTGCCCTTTTCCGAGAAGGGAACGTCTCCAGGGTGCTGGAGGCGTCGGGGAGTCGCAGGGGTAGGGGCCGAGCCCAAGGCGGTTTTCCCCTACGCTGCACTTGCACGGGTGTCCACGCGGGTGGGTCAACCGGTAGGTGGTGTTCAAGTCCTGGGCTGAGAGGGAGGGAGGCTGGGCCAAACTGGTTGGTTGGTAAGAGGGTGGCTCCGCCAGTACCACTGTTTCTCCAAGCTCTACTCCAACTAGGGAAACTTGTGATTGGAAACAGCCAGAGTGGCTGAGTCCCGGGCAGGGAGCCACCCTGGCACGCATCACCTCCCCAACCACTGGCCTCTACCTCCTGCCCAGCCCAGTCCAAAGGAGGAATTCCTGACCACCCACCAAAGCGCCAGGAGCCCCTGTTCTCATCCACTACAGGGCCTCCAGCTCTGCAGCCAAGAGGAAGCTGGGGCTTTTGGCATAGGCAGAGCTGAGGGTAGGGCTGGGAAGAGGGACAGACCTGAGCCTACCACCTAGTGTCCTATGCTGGAGATTCACAGGTCTGAGGTCAGACCATAGGCTGGACTTAGCCACTGGAAAGCTTCTGGATCTGTGGAAGGGGCATGCCCTACAAGTGCTCATTGGTGGCACTTGGGAGCTGCAGGGTCTACCTGCTCACTCACCTGTCCTGTACTGCCCCTCAGGTGTTCCTAACACAACAGAGCTGGCTGAGCTTGCCACTGGTGCAGAACTGAGGACATCATCCCGAGGAGCTGAGGCTCCAGGTGCTCTCCTGAGGGTGGCTGCCATGCCACTGCCTCAAACTCTGGGCCTCCTTAGGCTCTAAAGAAGAGAATGAGGAGGAAGCCAAGGCCCATCCCTGACCCTGCAGCAAGGCTAGCATGTGCACATACATGAAGCGCTGTGCCCACTGGTGGTAGTGAGCACTGAGTGTCTGCTTGGGGCACGGTACCTGCCATATGATCCGCAGAGCTGAGCAGTCGCACCCTGGAGAGAGTGACACAAATCTGAGTCCATGATATCTGTCCACAGTGACCTGTCTCTGTAAGCATCCTGGGCTTCCAGTGGGGCTAGCCTGTACAGTGCTCAGAGTTGGTGCAATGCCCACTCTCTAGGCTGGCACAGGTGCAGGTGTGAGGGAGGGTGGTTCCAACCAGGCACTAAGAGGGGCAGCTAGCCACAGGCCACATCCAGCATTCTAAGACCAGCTCCTCCTCATCTGGGGTCAGTGGTAAGGATATGCCAAAATGACCCCCTGTGGCCCTATCACATTCCCTAGGATCAAGCTCTGGAGTGGGGGTGCCCATCAGGCAGTCTGTTGCTGATCAGTATCCCTGATGTGCCCACCCAGTTGTACTAGCACATCTACCCCCAGGGACCTCCTGTTCCAATGGGTTGAGCCGGTACCCCCACATCTCCCTGAGTAGCAGCCCTGAAGGCTGGCCCCTAGGCATGATGAGGCTGTTTTGGGGGAGTAGAGGGCACATAGTTATTCTCAGGGCAGAACACAGGGGGCCTCTGAAAACCAGACAGGTCTGTAGCCAGCAGCCCAGGCCTGGGTGGTATCTCCTGGGAACGGTCCCAGACTGGGGCAAGGAGTCTCAGGGATTATGGGTCCATGGCCCAATGATGAGTAGTGTCTGGGGCTGCATTTGGTAAGTGGCCCCCTCCCCATCCTGCCCTGCTGAGCCTCCTCCAAAGGCATTTGCCCAGTGTCAAATTGGAGGTTTTGATTGTGAGGCTCACGCACTTACACCCTGGATGTGGCTTTCTGGGGCATTGTGCTGCTGCTGTTCAAGGACCTGATCCACCTAGTGGTGAGTGCCAGGGAGGGGAGGTGAAGGGGGAGTCTGGGCTGGGGACTGGAGTTCTGTCTGCTGGAGGAAGTGGCAGTGCCCTCAAGGCTGGGTCTTTGCCTGTGTCCGAGACCCCAGGCCACAGGAACGCAGGGAACTGTGGGTACACCATACACCAAGGAAGAGGCTTTGAAGAGGATCATTGTTCCTTTGCTGTCTCTAGAACTGGTTCCTGCTCGGATCCAAGGATAGGGCCAGGGCCTTTCCAGGAACACTCTGCCTTGCAGGACTTTCCATGCTGCAGGATGTCCTGGGTGACTTCACTCTGGCACTACCAGCCCTGTCTGCCCAGTGCTTTGTTTTTTGTTTTGGTTTTTTTTTTTTTTTTTTTTTTTTGTCTGTCTGTCTGTTTTTTTCCTCCTTCAGTGCTGGGAGCGGAACTCAGGGCCTTGTGCGTGCTATGCAAGTATATATTTTCACTTTTTTTTTAAGTTCATTTTTTTAGTTCCAGAGATTAAACCTAGTGGGACTTAACCACTGAGCCACATCCCCAGCCCATTTTTTTCTTACTTTGAGACAGGGTCTCACTTAGTTGCTGAGTCTGGCTTTGAACTTAAGATCCTCCTGCCTCAGCCTCTTGATTCTCTGGGATTAGAGGCTTATGCCACCATGCCTGGCTCCTTTTTATTTTTAATTTTGAGACAGGGTCTCTCTGAGTTGACCAAGTTTGCTTCAAACTTGTGATTCTCCTACCTCAGCCTTCTAAGTGGATGGGATTACAGGCCTGCGCTACAGTCCTGAGAAAATCCCCACACACAGTGGTGCCCCCAATTCCTCCTCTTTTTTTTTTTTTTTTTAAGATTTATTTTTTAATCGTAGTTGGACACGATACCTTTATTTTATTTATTTTTATGTGGTGCTGAGGATTGAACCCGGGGCTTTGCACAAGCTAGGCAAGTGCTCTACCGCTGAGCCACAACCCCAGCCCCCCAATTCCCCTCTTTAATGACCAGGTGACAACCAGGTAGATTGTCTGGGAAGAGGTCTGCCTCGAGGCCAGAGGAAGCCCTTGGGGTGGCCCAGTGCCCACACAGCTCTTTTCCCTTGAGGGATCAGGCTTAGGCTGTGGTCTGGCTGCGGCTGGGCTGGGCTGGGCTGGGCTGGGCTGGAGTGTGGAGATGTAAACACCAGCACCTGTGAGTGGATCAGACCAAGCAGTGAGTGACAGCCCCCAGCACAGGTTATGGTACAAGCTGCCAGCACCTGCAGTGGTACCCACAGTACCACACAGGATAGCTGATTGTACTGTTTGCCCTGCTGGCAGGCCTGGCCAGAAGATGAACAACATGTGGGTGGTAGTGTTTGTGGCCCTTGATGGGGTGATAGACCAGGAGGCAGGCCCCAGTGCTCAGGACATCAGGACAGGGAACATGCCTCATGCTTCAGGGTGCCATGAGGCTGCAGGGTGGTGGAACTTACCTCCTGCCCCTGACCCACGCACCTAGGATGGGGTCCAGGAAGATTAGGGAAGCAATGCCTGCATCGCTGCAAGGTGTGCTCCTATCAAGGAGCCTCAGATAGATCCTTGATCCGGAAGGCACGGCCCTGCTCAGCTCAGCAGCCCTCCCTGCGTGGGCCAAGACACCAGGCAGGACATGTCCAGGCATTCAGAGACAGGTCACTGAGATGCTAGAGAGGAAAATAGTGGGCCCACATACCTGTTATGGACTCATCACACAAGGTGGTGGGGCTCAGATCACATAGAACCTGGTAGGGTGTAGCTTGGGGCCTCTCTGACTGTGCCCAGCCAATGGACACCTCTGTCCCTGAAGTTAATGCTCCCCACCTTGGTTTTCTTGTTTCCTGGGTTTCTTTCTGTGATTGACCATACGTGTGTATGCTTATACACTCAGTGTTTTTCCACACCTGGTATTTGTTTAGACCTTAAGTCATTCTGTAATAAAACTAATTTAAAACCAGCCCTGGGTGTCCCTGAGAATCCTTTTCCTTTGAGGAAGGCCCCCTGTGTCACTCAGGTGTAGGGCCCATGAAGCAAAGCTGTGCACTGGAACGTCTCCAGGCCCCAGAGACCTCACTGCCCAGTTCTAACGTCCCCTGGAGGGGATGCCAGGAACTAGCACAAGTGGGGAATCAGAAAGAAAGGAGGAAACAAGATGTTTACCAAGCTGCTGGGAAGTGTGAGGCCCAATGGCATCATCATGGGAGGAGGTTGGCCTTGTCACCTCCTGGGGCAGGGCCATCATCTCCTGAGGGGAGAGAGACAAGCCCTGGCTTGCTGCACACAGAACCCATGTGTCCAGTGGTTTGGAGCTGGGCTGCGTGTCCTCCACAAGGGTTCCAGGAGAAGGGGCAGTGTTGGGCTTGTGGAACTTGGGTCTCCTAGCTTCTGCTCCAGGAGCATGGAGCACGGAGCATCAGCACCAGCTGGGAAAGCATCTGCCAGCAAGTGTTTCACAGGCTCCCACTTGAAGGAGAAGGTGTTCCAGCCAGCAGAGAAACAGTGGTGCATGGAAAGGAAAACTCTCACTGTGAGAGCCAGGTAATGCAGGACCCGAGGAGAGGCTCCTTGGTCAGCTTTCCATCACTCATAGACTTGAAGTCACCATCTTATAAAGAGAAAAGGTTTATTTGCCCAGGCACCGTGGTGTACACCCTTAACCCTAGCAACTCGGGAGGCTGACACAGGAGGATTGCAAGTTCTGGGCCAGCCTGGGCAATTTAATGAGGCCCCACACAACTTAGCAAGGTGCTATCTCAGAAAATGAAAAAAGGAATAGGGTGTGGCTCAGTGCTTGTAAAGGGCCCCTGGGATCAATCTTTGGTACCCTCCCACCCCCCCAAAAAAGAAAGAAATGTGTATTTGGCTTGCAGTTTCAGAGGTTTCAGTTCACGGTCAGCTGCCCTGTTGCTTGTGGGCCTGAGTCAGGACAGCACATGGCTGTGGGCACACAGGGCAGAGCAAAACTGCTGACCTCAGCAAGAGTAGAGAGCTACTGATCCCACTGCCCCCTCCCCTGACCTGCAGGCCTCGCATGAAACCTGCCTCTGATAGTGCCACAGGGGGCATCAGTCCTTTAATACAAGATCTTTGGGGGAGATTCCAGACCCAGGCCCTTCCAGGCTTTATGACCTAAATGCTCTTTGACAGAGAACAATGAGAAAAAGGAGTGGCAGCCTTCAAGGACTACCCCGTGGCCAGCCTAGGACTGGGCCTATCTGCAGTCACCTCTGCTGCCTCCTGAAGTGTCGGAAAGTACTTGCCTGTCTGAAGGTGCAAGTGCAGGGACGGGGGTGGGGGGTGGTTTCTGGGCATAGTGCAGCCTGGGACTTGTGGGGCAGGTAAGCTGAAAGCTACCGTGTGAGCATCGGGGCTCCTGGGTTGGAGGAAGAGCCAGAGTGCAGGTGGTGGTAGGAGGAGACTACAGGGATGGCTCTGGGCCAGGGTGGCAGGTCCCTGGTACAGGTGCCCCATCCCCACCATACCCTATGGTACAGAGTTGCCTGGGATGTGGCTGCGTGAATAGGTCTGCTGCTCTGGAGAGGGTGGGTACCTGCAGGGCCAGGAGGAAGAGACAGCTGTGTTTCCCCAAACTGGTTCAAAAAAGTCTTGTGGAGCTGTCTCTGTGGTGGGGCCAAGGGGCCCAGGCTGATGGAGCCCAAAGAGCACTTGGGGCCCAGCATCACCTGCAGCTGGACCATGGGCAGCTCCCACCAGTATACACAGGTCAGAGTGGGCTCAGGGCTGTGGACAGAGGTGGCCAGAAGATGGAGAGTAAGCCTCCCGAGGCCTCTTCTGCACTCCTCCAGGGATATGGGGGCTCAGCAGAAAGGACTGTGGCCAGCAGTCCAAACACTTAGCTGTCCATCTGGAGTCAGGGTATCCGGGATGGGGCAGGGTCTGGGTGGGGCTGTGGGTAGAGCCCACTAGGACCAAGGGTAGAAGGTAGCAGGCAGGGCCTAGCAGGGGGCCGGGGACTTCCTACCTGATCTGGAAAGCCCAGGGCGCCGGTCTACTTCTGCCCCTCCCAGGCGCACACAGGTGAGGATGCCAACCCAGCCCTCAGACAACAGAGTTTATTCCAGACTCAGCCTCCACTCAGGCCCAGCGTTCCTGCAGCTGCTGGCCAGGTGAGGGCAGTGTAACCACAGTGCCCACTGCTACCTTCTGGAAGCCTGCCAACTGTCACTGCGTGGGGAAAGGCTGGTACCAGAAATGGTGAGGAGGGGCAGTGAGGTGGGTGATGTCACCCCAAGTGGCTCTACTCTGTTATTGCATGTATACGCTTCAGACTTGGGACACTGGGTGCAGGTGGGACCGGCAGTCTGCTGGGGGTATTGGGCAGACACAGATGTGGAATGGGGTTCTCAATGTCCCCCCAGCTCTCTGCCAGGCTGTCAGCCACTCCCCAGGATAACTGTCCTACTGAGCAGGAAGTGGACAGGAAGTATGGTGGTCCCAGCCTTGGGCTTCCCTGGGGCACAAGCTGGAGAAAGCAAACTTTGGGGAGCACTTCCCAAGACCAACCCTATCTTCTCCCAGCCAGGGCATGAGGCAGGCCGTGGGCAGAGGTGGCTCTGCAGCTGTGACCACCCACGTCATGTCAGTACCTACATCAGACCCCTCAGCAGTACACGGAGCAGAAGTGGGGAGAGTGAAATAGCCATGTCCTTTGATGTCCCCACAAAGTCCAGCCCACTCCACCAACTGGTCTTCCTCACTGCTCCCAGCTGCCTGTCCCAGGCCAAGTCCTCTACCCAATGTTGGAGTTCCACCTTCCCTGCCCTATAAGCCCCAGAGCCCAGGCTGCTTCTGCCCTGGAGCCTGAAAGGAGTGTGCTGGGCTCAGAGGTAGGCCCTGTTCTCTGATGGTGGGCTGTCCATCTCTCCTGCTGTGATTATGTGTAGGGCATCTGTGTATATCGATACATATATGTGATGTGTGTAGATAGGTCTGTGAGGATTCGCATGCAGTGGACTCCCAGGGCTGCACAGAAGGTGGCTCTGTGCCCCAACCTGGACATCAGGCATCATTTTTTCCGGGCCAGGAAGGCCACACCAAGAATCAGGGCCACAGCTGCCACAGCCACACCCCCAGCCACCAGCAAGGGGGTCAAGTTCTCACAGGGCCATGGACCTCGACCCTCTGGCCCTCCAGCAGCAGACTCCTCCTCTGCTCCATCCCCAGGACCCTTGAGCTCTGGGGCTGCGTCAGGACTGCTGGGGGCCGTGGTTGCTGTGGGGGCCGGCTTCAGGTTGCTGTGGTTGTTGAGAAGGGCAGGGTCTGCCTTGGCTGAGGTCTTCTTGGCAGGAGCCGGAACGGGGGCTGCCAGCTGCTCCTGCTTCTCTGCTTGGGCCTCCTTCTTCATGGGCTTGGTCAAAGGGGCTTTCCCATCCGCAGCCGGAGTGGCCTTGGCCTCAGCAGTGGCCTGAGGCACCTTGGTGTCTGGCTTGGGGCTGCTGGCCGATTTTCCCCTGGACTCCATGGCAGGTGGTGCTGGCAGCTGGGTGGGGGCGAGTGGGACAGGCAGTGTCCAGACCACAGTGTCTCAGGACAGCCTGCCCCTGGGCATTATATGGGCCTGGAGGGAGACACAAGCCAGGCTGTGGCAAGGAACAGATGAGGTCCCCTCCTGGGTAGCCCTCACTACCTTGACCCCTGGGGACTTCTCAGGACCTTGGACTCCCCAGAAGCCTCAACCTAAGAGCCTCCTGTGGGCTTCAGACCCTCCTCCCAAGGCCTGGTCTCTCTCTACTCCCAGTCACTCCCAGAGAAGCCCCTCCAGCCACTGAGGCAGGGATGTGGACTGAGTCCAGATGGGGCAAGGAGGGGCCAGTGAGATCCTCGTTGGTAAACATGTCTTGCCAGGGACATGTTGTGTCCATCCCATTGGTCACAGGTAGAAAAGCCCTGAGGGGAAGGGAGAATCCAGCCCTGAGGACAGGAAGGGGAGCATTTGGTCCAGGAGGGAAGATGGAGTCCTGGTGGCAGGGACAGCACTGAGTCCTAACACATGACCTCTCAGCAGGCACTGCTGTTTCACAAAGGGGATGCTGGGGCGCCTGGCCAGGGTCCACATGAAGGAAGTCTGGGCTCCCAGGCAGCTGTCAGGTGGGGAATTGGCTCAAGGCCTTTAGACTACAAGGACCTGATGTGATAAAGCCAAGGTCTCTCTCCCAGAGGCAACCACAGGCTGTGCCTCCTGGTGGCCATCTGCCCCTGCCAGCTTCTGGTGCCTTCTCTTTATACTGGGCTTAGCTCAAGGGTAAGAAGTCCTTGTTGAGCCTAAAGCGGTGCTTGCCTCTGGGGGCAGAGAGTCCTCTGGCATGAGCCCTGGGGGCCTGTGCTGTAGGAAAGGACTTGCCCAGTTTGTCAATGTCTGGCTGGGGAGAGAGCTCCCGGCCCCAAGACCCGGAGCCACCTTCCTGCCTCACCCTGAAAGGATGAGAAGTGCCCCGCCGAAAAGGAGAGCCAGTTTGGGAGGCTCAGCACAGGTTCCCCATCCCCACCAGGCCCAGTGACCACACTGAAGGTCACCTGAATGTCAAGCGCAGGATGGCATGTCCCGGTGAGAGGCCGGGCAGCTGCTCCACTTTTAAGAGACCCTTGCCCCTCCCACATCTGGAGTTCTGGAGGGGGCCCAGCTGCTGGAGGGGGCCTAGCTGCTGGGCATCCTTTGTAAAGGGCAGAAAATTGACTTCCCCTCATTATTTTCGGCTCGCACTTATGTCCCCTTGACTGCCTCCCCGGAGCTGCTGATCCCGGGAGAGCAAGGGGTTTGCGCGCAATCCCAGTGACCTTCAAGGCCAGGGCACCGTTGCTTGCCCACCAGACCCAGCGCCCCATTCCACCCACCCAAAGCCAGAGCCTACCGCCTTACGCAGTTGGTCGGGTTCCTGGCTCGGCCCTGAGCGCTCCCTCCGCGGGACGACAGCGGGTGGCGGCTGCGGACGCGTCGGAGAGCCCAGGAGTTTCCCACAATGCACTGCTCTGGGCTCAGGACGCAAGGACCAGCGCCGGGCGGGGCGGGCAGCAGCGACTGCAGCCACGTCATCAGGGCTCCGCCCCGTGCTCGGCACGCCCGCTAGGAACTCTGGGGTCCCTAACCCAGCTCTGCTCTCGACCCGGAGCCCAGGGTCAGCGAGGAGAGGTGCCCAGGCTAATTTCCTGTACCCCATCCACATCTCGGGGCAGTGGGGAGGCCTCGCCGGCCCCTCTTCCTGGCTTCCCCTAGGCAGGTGGGATGGGCAGACCTAGGTCTGCCTGGGGAGGCGAGGACTGCCCTTCCCGCCCCATCACCAAAAAGACTTCCAGAAAGGAGAGTTCTATTTAGAATATTTATTTACCCTTTTACGTGACAAGACACAAAAAGTTACAACTCCTTAAAACTCTTCAAAAGAAAAAAAAATATAATTCTGTAAGCAGCAGCAGCAGCTTTCAAGGTACAGACATGATGGGAGGGAGCTCCCAGGAGCAACCGTGAACTGGGGGCCCAGACCTGAGCCCAGGTAGTGTCACTGGGAAGGGGCCTCCACAGAGGGAGCTAGGTTTTGGGGACACAGCACCAGCACATCAGGATCAGTCACCAACACAATCACATGGCTGGGGCAGGATAGGGAGCCTGCCTCAGTTCACAACACAGAGGGTTCCAGGGCTGGGAGGGGGGACTTTCTCAATGTGGTCAGGGGCCTTAACTAGAGGCCCAAAGAGTAGGGTAAACCCTGGGAGGACTGGGGCAGCAGCTTCCACCCCTTTCCCATGAGCAGAGCAGGTGCCCCAGGCTTTATACTGGCCCTATTGTCCACCCCCTCCAGGGATGGGATCTCAGAAGACAGGATGGAGAAATTTTGTATGGGGTCAGCAGAGGGTCTGGGGTGCACACGGTGCCTGGCCACATGGGGAGGGGCAGCAGCCTCCCCACAGGCCATGAGAAGGCTGGCAGGCAAACCTGCTCCCCACCCCCCAAGCAGAGACCCTGAGCCTGGCCTGGGGTGGGACTGAGTGGCTCACCAGAAGATCCCACAGTGGGAGGGGGAGGGGGGCTTGTCCTGGAATCAGAACTCATGGTGGCTCCCCACCTGGGACCCCCAGTGCTATGTGGGGAAGAGGCAGAGTGGAATCCTGGCCAAGAGGAGAGCAGCAAGAGGGGATGGACCATGGACGGAAGGACAGGCAGGGCCACGAGGGCGCAGCAGTTTCAATAAATAGGTTTGTGCAGGTCCCCTTTGTAGACTAGGAGAACCTCAGAAAGGAGCCAGGGGCCTGGGGGGTAGGGTCCAGCCTGCCCAGCCCAGGCCTGAGGGCCCCCAGCCCAGAGACCAGCTCTGCCCCTGGGGGTGCTCAGGCCAGGGCAAGGCTGGGTCAGGGACTGGCTCCAGGAATGTAGAGATTTCTTCGTTTTCTACATAAATAAGACGTTGATCCCAATAGTTGTGCCTGCAGAACCCCATGGGGATCTCTGTGTGCACCACCCATGTGGACCCTGCTCCCCTACCCCAGCCTCCCCTGTTGGCCATGCAGGATTGGGGAGACCTTCTCTCACTCAATCCTGGGCTGGCACCCAACCCAGGCCACAGCCAACAGACTGGGGAGGGGCAACTGCTGGGTTCAGGCCTGGGGGCCCTGCAGCAGCCCCAACAGGGACTCTGCGATTCCCAGGAAGTAGACCACCTGAGCAATGCCAAACAGTGGGGCGATGACCAGGGCACGACAGTAGGCACCCTTCAGGAAAGCAGAAGGACCCTCGTGTTGCCAGATCTTCCTGTGGGGGAGGGGGGGTCAGAACTGGTGCCCAGCCCCCACCCCAGCCCCCACCCCTTGGGCCTGGCCCACCTGGCGCAGTCCAGAAACCCAGAGTAGGTGTCCTCATTAACGCCTCGCTGGAGAGACTGTAGACGAGTCTTCACCACTGCAAGAGGACATATGGGTCAGCCTGAAGCCTGCTCCCTGCCCCCTCAGCCCCACTCCCCAGCGTGGGCCCAGGGGAGCTCTGACCATCACATGGGTTAACTGCCACCGCTGCGGCACTGCCAGCCACACAGCCGGCCAGGAACGACACGTAGAAGGGCGCCTTCTCCTCTGAGGCAGGGCGGCCCAGCTGGTTCAGGTTGGCAAAGAGAGGGAAGTACACAATGGAGAAGGGTACATCCCTGCGGAGAGGAGGGGTGGAGCCAACCTTGGGCTGGGGAAGAGGGGAAGGAGAGGGGTAGCCACCCCCCACCCTCCCCAGAGAAGGGGCGGAGCCGACCTTGGGGCTGGGGAAGCAGGGATGGAAGGGGTGGTCCCTATGGAGAGGGGGGACTGGGCAGGTAGGCCTCTACCTCCTCCAGCCCGCCCGCCAGCCCTCCCACCTGAGCAGGGTGGCCCCCAGTCCCTTGTAGAGGCCAGCAACGCCATGGTTCCGCAGCAGGTCACGGGTTAACTGGGTGGCTGTGGGCCGGGGAGCAGCAGGAGCCTCCACTGAGGGCTGGGTGGCCCCATGGGCCGAGAGCTGGGCCTGAGCAGCCAGCATCTTCTTCTGGGCAGCTGGTGAAAAAGGGACTTTGGTCTCTTCCTGCTGGCATGGTGAGGCAGGGGACAGGCCTGGCTGCTGACCCTATCCCTTGCTCCTCACCGATGCGGCCTGCATCCTGCAGCTGGATCTTCAGCATCTCCATGGGGGTGGTCACGATCACCTGGCAGGTGCCTGCCCCACAGCCAGCCAGCATCTCCTTAGGCAGGGTCAGCTTCTGCCTATAGTGGAGAGGCCACCTGCCATGAGGAGATGTGCAGGAACTGCCTGCCCAATAGGCTGCCTGTGGAGGCTGGTGTGAAAGGGGTGTGGGTGGTGGAGGCAGATGTGGCTCCCTGAGGATACGGTCCCTAGCCTCAGGCCTCCAACCACAGACACCAACCCAAAAGACAGATGGCTCCTAGGGCAGGGGCTGGGGAAGGTAGTGGGGTCATCTTCTCACAGAGAGAAATGAGAATTATGGTTCTGAGTACTCTGAAAGGGGGTCCCCCTTGCATCCCTACTCTTCAGTGACGGGGGAGCTGGTTGATGCCCCCAAGTCCTGCCAGCCATCAATGGCTGGTGGCCAACAGCCACTGACTCAGCGTCCACTTTGAGTCTCCCCATACAGGCTAGTCAGTCTACCCTGCAAGGTCACAGAAGTCAGAAAGGGGCCAGCTGGCGGGGCTGACTTTCATCACAGCCCCCAAGCCCCAGATCTTGACCCCCCCAAGAGCCAGCAGGAAGGCCAAGCCTCTCACCCATCCTTAGAGAGCTGGTGTCGAAAGAAGTCATTGGCAGCCAGCTTGATGGCCTTCTCAGGGGTGACCAGTGTCAGGTTCACGGCGGCTCCTGGGGGACATTTGGGGGTCAGATGGGGCTGGTGGGGAGACACAGGAAGACCTGGTGGGGGTGGACAGGCTCAGCAGCCTGGGCTGGGGAGGCCCTGGGCCAACACTTGCCTCCTAGTCAACCAAGCCCCACCCCAGGCACTACTGGCACCGCCTTCTGCCCTCTCACCCACATTAAGGCTGGTGTGTGCCAGGCAGGCAGCAACCAAGCAGGTTGGGCTGTGCTGCAGCCTCCTTCTAGCCCCTTCCCTCCCCTTCCAACTCCATGGGTCTGACTCCGGCAAGAACTGGCCTTACTCGGCTGTAGGTGCCGGGGATCAGACCGGAGAATCCAGGCCCCCTGGCAGTCCACAGGTGTGTGTGGCCTCGATTGGTCAAAGCTAGGGGATGGGCAGCCCATCTCAGTGCAGGGCTCAGGGCTGCACAGCATCTGGGCAAATCCTGCTCTGCTGGGATTGCTTCCTGAGCGGCTTTGCATAATGCCCCCAGTCTCCAGCTGCAGCTGCCATGAGAGGCAGATCATCTGCGGTGTCCTAGCAGAGGGGCTGAGGGCAGTGCCCAGGCCAGGGGCTGAGAACTGCTATTTACCAGAGATCCAGCTCTTGGTCATCCCACCCCCGCTCACCCAGGGCTTGGCTAATGACCTCCACACAGGAGCAGCACCCCAGACAGCCCCCGCCACACACACCCCAGGTTCAGCCACACTGCTCAGCCCATGCTCTCTGCCCAGGCCATGGGAGGTGCCACCCAGACCCAGCCCATCCCAAGCCTCACCCCGGTACATGCCGAAGTAGCCCTCAGAGCGGATGGTCTTGATAAGGCAGTCAGACCTGCAGCCAAAGGGGTTAGGGGGTGAGCTGGGGGCCAGCTGGCGACCCCTCTTCTCCAGTGCAGATGCTGGCCAGCTCCTTTCCTGCCCAGCCTGGAGTGTCCAGGGCTAAGAGAGAGGCCAGTCAAAAGCCTCCACACTGACTCCTGGCCTAGAAGGGATCTCTCCAGGCTGTCCTGCCCGGTTCCCCATCAAATGGCAAAGGGCTCAAGGCACAGCTTCCCTGCGTGCCTGCACACACTGCCGGTGGGGCGTACTCACATGCTCGTGTACATGCGCTGGCCATTCTGCTGGTTCTGCAGCCTGGTCTTGGCCAGGTCGATGGGAAACACACAGGTGACCCCAATCAGCCCAGCGATGCCGCCATTGATGAGCTTTGCTGGCAGGCTGTGAAGGCAGGGCCAGGGCCAGGGTCAGCACACACTCCCTCCACCTGTGGTGGGGGTGTGTGGCTAGGGCTGAAGCCCAGGGTGGGGTCAAGTCTGACCTGATCTGTTTATCAGCCATTTAACTCAAGCACACCCGGGCAGGAGCAGGACAGGTGGACGCCAGGAGGTGGAGGTGGTGACAGGAGAAGGGGGGCGGCAGCTGCGATGGAGGGTAGGACCAAGGGCAGGGGTGATCCTCCAGTTCAGGGGCTTCAAGGCAATGGCCACCACTTCTGCCTGGGAAAAAAGAGGGGACAGGAATCAGGAGGGGGGCCCATCATGGGAAACAGCTTCCCCCACCCTCCATCTCAGGCTCTGCGTCAAGCTCCCCACCCCCCACCCCAGAATGGAGTCTTAACATGTCCTGAGGATGCACAACAGAAGGAGGGGAGGTGGTGCCACCTGGCCCCTCCCCGAGGCCACCTGGTTCCCCCTCAGTGCCCTCCTCACAGTGTCTCCCGGCTGGCACAAGCTCACAAATGCACACACTCATGCTCACGTGCACAAGGGGAAGCTCCAGCTTTTAAAGGGCCAGGCACCTCTGAGAAGCAGTGGCACCTTGAGCCTGGACTCGACTGTGGTGACCATTTCCCCAGCTTTGAACAGAGGCAGCTGTCCCCTACCCTCTTCAGGATGGGGCTGGGGTCTTCACCCTAGGACCCCCCACCTAGGTGAAGTTCATGGCTGCCCAGATGGACTTGGCCATCCCAGGGACAGCCCCCAAACCCCATGACAGTCCCACTCAGGACTGCAGAGTCTCCTCCTCAGGGAAGCACAGTGCCCACCCACACCCAGCCCATTCCCCACCCTCCTCTCCAACCTCTGAGTTTCACTCCCAGACACAGGAACTCGCTGACCAGCACCTCAGAGAGCCTCAGGAACAAGAGGCACGAGAGAGTGGCCTGGGAAATGGCTAGCCCCCAGGGGACTTTAGGACCCCATCTCCTCTAGGGCTGTGGAGAAAAGGGCCTCTCCCACTAGCAGCAGGACTCGGGAGACAAGCGTCAGCTTCAGGGGCACCATGGGGGACATGGCCATAAAAACTGAACTGTGGAGGGCATCCTGGAGTCTGTCCGCTCCAACTTTCTGTGTTTCCCCCAGTTCTCCTCAGAGGTCAGCTGGCTTATACTCCAGCACAGCTGCCCAGGGTCATACTGCTGGCTCATATCCTCGGGCCAGGCAAGGACTCATGACCTTCACCTTGCTGGGCTGTCCACAGCCTCCTGGGCTCCACCACTCCCACCACCTGCTGGGTCCTGCTTACCCCTGAGGTGCACAGAGAGCTCCTCCACGGCTCCAGCAAGCTGCCTCTGGGAGGAGATAAGGAGCTGCCAGCCAAGGGAGGAGGGAAGGGACCTAGGGATTGGCCACAGGCTGGGGCGGGGCCTGGCTGGGGGGGACTTTCTCTTTCACTTTGGGCAAGCTGGGGAATCCCTGCAGCTTCAGGAGAAGGGAAGAGAAGGGGTGAGACTGCTTCAGGAGCAGGGCTGGCTTGGACTGGGTGACAAGGGGGTCTGACACAGGTTGGCTGAGCGGGTTCCTGTCTGTAGCCTGTGAGATGAACCAGGATCTGTCTAGGGTTCTGGAACCCCAAGGGCTGGGGTGCTCTGTGCCCCGGCACCCTTCATGCACCTGCAGGTGTACCCTGTGGAGAGGTGTCAGCACACGCTCAGCTGTGGTGTGTCTGTTGAGGCAGGTGAACGTCAGTGGACCTGACAGTGGGATTCAGGAAGGCATGCCCGTCCACTGGCAAGGGCAGGGAAGGGTGCCTGGGTCTCAGAGGTCACTGGATGCCCTCCACAGGCCCTGCTTACCTGGCAGGTCCAGAGGGCATGGAAGCTGACACTCCCAACACTGCTCTGGTCACCACCGGCACACCCAGAACCTCAGTGGTGAACTACCTCTCTCAGCCCAGTTCTTGACCTCTGAACTTCAGCCTGACTCCTCTGTACCCCTCCCCACCCCCTCCAGGTGTAGACTGGCCACAGCCAGCTCACCCTGTTGCTAGCCTCAACTCTTCCTAGGAGCCCCTGCCCTTCCTCCAGGATGCAGTGAGCCCACCCAGCCTCCCTGAGCAACCCCTTTCCTCCCCAGATCCTACCTCAGGAGGCACACCTGGGTGTTGGGGTGCCAGAGTCTGACAACCCAACTGGAGTGGGGAGGGGAAGAGTGACACAGGCCCCCGCATCCCAAGGGCTGAGTCAGCCCTGTGCCCTACACCATGCAGTGCAGGCCAGATCATCAGGGAGGAGCTACTGAGCTGACAGTGAGGGGCTCTGCCTGGGAAAAACTGGCACTGGGAGGGGGCTCTGGACCGACCCCCCCCCCCCTTTTCTGTCTTCACTCCTTGGTTCCACCCTGCCTGAGACAGCTGTCAGTCAAGGTCCCACCCCCAGCACCTTCCCTGTTGCCACAGAAACCTGGCAGCCCAGCCAGGCCTGAGGCACCACAGCCAAGTCTGGCCACCCCAACTTTCCAGTCAGGTACCCGAGGCTGCAGGCAGCCTGATAGCAAGGGAGCATACAAAAGCCACCCCCATGCCCTGCAGGACCACACTGCTTCTTCCCTGACCCACAGGGGTGAAATCTCCCTAATGAAGCTGCCCAGCTTCCCCTACCCCTGAGAAAGGCTATGGGGCCAAGGTTCAAGAGTGGGAACCGGTTCAACTTCCCCCAGCCTTCCTCTTGGGAGGGTCTTTCTGTTCTGCTGGCTGGAAGGGCCCTGAAAGGGTCTCCAATTGTGAAGTACACCAACCCGGGACAAAGGAGGACCGGGTTGGAGGCTGCATGCTGTGATCCAGGCAAGCTCAGACCCTGCTCCGTAGCTGGGGTTCAGCTGGCCTTGATGACCCGGATTCTGGCCATTTACATGTGCACGCAAGATCCGTGAGGTCCCACGTGTGCGCCCCCCACAGCCTGGCTCCTCCTTCCGGGGCTCCAGCTTAGACTTTCACCCCGCGGGGACACGTGGACACGTGTGCACAGGGAGCGCGCCCGGAACCGCGGGGCCGAGCACGGCCTCCCACACCCTGGCGATGGTGGATCCGAGCATCCGCCGGGCTGGGCCCTACCGGGGCCGCCTTGTCCGGGCAGCTGTCACCTCACCCCGCCACTCTGACACCCTCTGTCCTCGCAGCCCAGTTGCGCTCAGGTGGGCGACCACGAGACCCACCCTCCGGGCACTCACCGCACTCCGCCGCGCTCGCCTCCCCGCTGTGCCGCGCACCCGGCCTGCACCTAGGCAGGGAGGCGCGTCCGCTCTGCGCCGCGCGCGCTCCGCCCCCAGGCCGGGGCTGGCTCTCGGGCTGCGGCTCCCCCTCCCGGCCGCCATGGCCACTGCGCCCAGCCAGGCCACAGTCCTAGCCCAAGATCACCCCTCCCTGCAAGTAGAACGGCAAAGCTGGGATTCTGCGCGTCCCCAGGGCCCTTTAAGAACAATGACCCATGTCTGATTAGGTGGCAGGGAGCACGGTGGATGAGGGCATCCTGGGGGAGGAGGGGGTTCCCAGCTCAGCCAGGAATAAGCCTGCCAAGGCTGGTGGGCTTGGTGGATGCACAATCACAAAACCACACAGGTGACTTTGTATCCATCTCTGATAGAATCGTTACTTTGTAGAGTCAGCTCCTCTCCACTTCTGGGAAGATCAGGACCACAGGCAACAGGCATGGTCTGAGGGAGGGGCAGGAGCAAAGGCCATGGGAAGACTGGGCATACAGAACCCCCTCCCAGTAGAGGCTGGGCCTCAGATAGCCTGGCCCTGCCTTCCCTCCAACTGCCTCTCCACCTGATGGACCAGCCAAGCTCTGAGATGGTAGATGGAACAGTACAGGTTTACATCGCCCCCAGACAGGGGAGAGACTTGAAGGTCGAGCTCTGCCAGGGGCCAGGCCAATGTCCAGAGCCTGCTGGGCTTAGGCCTGGGCAGGCTCTGTGGACTGTGAGGCTGATGTGCCTGGCAGAGCAGAGTCCTCTGCAGCCAGGCCCGTACGGCGGATGCTGTCCTGGTACTTGTGGCGGCCGAGCTCCAAGATGGCCCGTACTTCTTCAGCCACATCCTGCCGGTCACTCTGCTCCAGGGCCTGCAGCAAGAGCTCCACAGCCCCTGGCTGCCCAGCCTGGCGCTCTGCCCAGGAGAAGAGCATGTGGCGGATTTGCCCGTCCAGGTCGTCCCTTGGAGAAGGGGGGTAGTGATCAAGGGGGTCACAGACCCTCATAAAGGGTTCCTTGCTCCGTGGGCCAGTTGTGGCCAAACCCTCCCTTTCCAGCCTGGAGCTTGTCCCGGCCTCCTTGAAACTTCTGCCAGAAATAAGCAGGAACAACTTGGTAGTCAGGGCCTGGCCCTGAGGCTGCATGGGCTTCAGTGGGAGGCTCACCGGAACTCATGCCGGATGCGCTGCAGCTCTCGGTAGGGCATGCCCAAGTGCAGGGCCACGGCTGGCCAGTCGGGACCCAGGCGCCCAGCCACACTCAGCAGGTTGCTCTGAGTCAGAAAGCCAGTCTCAGCGTCGCCCAGGTTCAGGGGTGCCAGGGAAAGCCTGGCCCCCTTCCCGTGACCCTTGAGCCCCTGAAGTCTCTGTCAGAAGGAGCAGAACAGTGAGCCCTGACCCCACCCTTACATCCCTGGTTACTCCCAGGACTCTGTCCCTCCCCACACCCACTGCTCCCCAGCCGCACCGGCAGCTTGATAGGCAGAGTGGCCATCCAGAGGGCATCTGCACCCTTCCTCTGCCGGGCAGCCTCAGCCTCTTGGGGTACCTCCACAGGCACTGAGCCCCGATAAAAGGACACCTGAGGAGAGATCAGATGAGTTTCAGACCTCTGGCCTCTGCCCAGGTGACCTGGGTCTCCTACCCTGTTGGCCCACCTGGCCTCGCACCGCCTGAGCCTCCCGATCCAGAGCTGTGGTGATGTACACTTCCTTCACGTTCTTCAGGTGAGAGTAGAACACAAAGCAGACCCTGCCCTCCACACAGTCTGGGCGGTCTGGGGCACGAGACAGGCTCAGCAGGGCAGGCGGGAGGGCAGACCCCAGGCCCTCCTGGGGAGGGAGACTTACCAGCATCCACGTCAATGCCTCGCTCGAAGGCAGCAAAGAACTTCTCGCCCTCAAACATCTCCACAGTGTCAGAGGGCTCGGGCCCTCGATAGCGCTCCAGCAGCCGGCGCAGGGTGGCATCCACCTGCAGGGACACCCCCGTAGTTTAGACCCCAAGCTCAATGCTCCCCCCCAGGGTTTGGTCTCCCTGCTGCCCTCCTGCCATCCCCACCTTGTTTCGGGGCAGGCACTGCAGCAGGACCTGCTCGGGGTCCCGGCGCCTTTGCAGGGCAATGAGGTTGACTTGGTGCAGCCGTAGCCGCTCCCAGGCCTTCCGCGCCAGGCCCCCCACACAGGTCTTGGTGGTGTACCAGAGCCAGTACCTGGGAGGGTCAGTGGTGAGATGCACTGTGCAGACCAGACTGGGGGAGGGCAGGGAGGGGGACCTAGCGAGCACTGACCAGGAGAAATGTGTGACCTGGAAGCGTGCATACAGATGAGTGAGCTCCAGCACCACCTGAGCCGTGATGTCATCCCAGGTGGCTGCAGGAGGGGCCCAGTACAGCAGGTGCAGGCGGGAGTGGTCCAGGCTGAAGCCTAGACAGGAAAGGGCAGCAGGCTGAGGTCTCTAGCTGGCCCTTCCAAGCATTGTCTCCTCTTCCCAATGGCACAGTGACCTCTCACCTGTGACACCAGGGGGCAGGGGTAGCTGCACCGTAACTGGCTGGAGGAAGCTGGGGGGACCACTCTGTGAGAGGCATAGCAGGGGGCTCACCGCAGCCTCTGGCTCCCCTAGAAGGGCGCGCAACTCTCGGCCAGCCATGTGCACCACCTGTGCAGACAGCCATCTGAGCACCTGCCTGGGCGCCATGCTGTCACCTGATACCCTTGGTGCTACGCTGGCTATACCTGCATGGAGACATGACGAGGCTCCTCGGTGGCCCCAGGGGGGAAGGTGACCTTGACCCCAGGATGACCTGAAGAGCACAGCAGTGTCCCCTCTGGAGGTACCAGGCAGGCATTGGATACAGGGCGCAAAACCACAAGGAACCATGAGAAGTGGGGCACCTGGCAGCGAGCCCAGAGCCGCTGGGACACACAAGGGGGACAGATCAGGGGAAGAGAGTCAAGGCAGAGATGCCACTCCCTGCCTCCCCTCACCCAAAGGCCTGGGCAGCCTCACCTTGGGTGCCTCTTCCTCTAGGTGGGTCTCCAGGTCACTCCAGCTATTGTCCCTGCGGGTTCTGACCACTACCTCATGGCAACGACGGGCCCGTGGGGGGACAAAGAGCAGCCACAGGCTCACATCCTGCCAGGCAATGGTGGTGTGAGGGCTGGGGCCAGGCCTGTGGCCTCCAAACCTGCCCCCCCACTACCCTGGCCATGCCTGCTGAAAAGCCACCCCATGGGGCCACAGCTCCAGGACACCGCTGAGCAGGGAGTCATGAGGGCCCAAGGAGACGAGTGCTGGTTCCGGCAGCCACAGTCGATAGTGGACAGTGATGGGGGTAGTGGTGGCCCCCGCTGGGAACCGCAGGCGGACGCCACAGGCCAGAGTTACAGAACAGCCTTGGGGGGTCACAGGGAAGCTGAGTGAGGAAAGGGGTGTGGGGTCAGACACAAGATCTGTGTCAGAGCCTGGCTCCCTAGGACTCCTGACACACAGGCAAAGTGTCCAGAATAGCCTGGGTGACAGGGTGGACAGATCTCCTTTAGCCCTCCTTTCCCACTTCATACCTGTCCAAATCTGAGGTCAGGAACAGTTTCGGCATTTCAAGAACTTGGGGTGTGCCTGCACAAAGGACAGATGAGTCATCAGGACAGCAATGTACCTGTGTCCTCTCTGCCTGGCTCATCCCTACACCAAGCCTACCTGGAGGACTCAGAGAATCTGGTGAGGCCTCACCCAGGGGGTTCCCCTGTAAGCGCACAAAGGGTGCATCTAGTAGCTCAGGAGGCAGGTGCCGGAGCTGGTTGTCCCTCAGGTCAAGCCGAGTGAGCAGTGGGAGATGGGCCAGACCAGCAGGCACTGAGGTCAGGAAGTTGCTGTGCAAAACAAGGAGCCGCAGGGACCGCAGCCCCACTGCAGCAGGTGCCGACTCAGGTTGGGCAGAGGACCACTCAGGGCCACCTCTGGCCCTGGGGCTCTACAATAGGACACTCACGCCACAGCCCCAGGGAAGCTGTTACAGGTCCACCTCTTGGTAGACAAGGCTGCCCAGGTCAGCCTGGGAGGAGTGAAAGCTAAAAGGCAGGAAAGCCTGTGGGTGCAGGGTCTCCTGTGGAAGAGGAGAGGAGCCACAGCCCAAGCCTGCAGGGAAGAAATGGGTAGGGGTGCTACTTCTTGGACTAGTGAGCCAAGTCATGGATGCCGCTGCTACTCACCAAGGGAGACAGGGAGGCTCTGCAGCCGGTTGGAAGCCAGGTTGAGTTCAGTGAGGTTGCTCAGGCCTCCAATCTCAGGAGGAAGTGTGTCCAGAAGGTTCTCTGAGAGATCAAGTTGCTGCAGGGCAGACAGGGCCCCCAGTGCTGGGGGCAGCTTTTGCAGGCAGTTGTGTGTCACAGTGAGGAAGGTGAGAACATGGAGAGCACCCAGGGTCTCAGGGAGCACTGACAGGCGGTTATGAGAGAGAAGGAGCGTGTCCAGGCTGCGCAGCTGAGGGACACAGGCTGGCAGTGTCTCCAGTTTGTTGAAGCTCAGGTCTAGGTGGACCAGGTGGGCCAAGGCACTCAGGCCAGTGGGCAACGTGGTCAGGGTACCCTGGAGGCAGGCACCCAGGGCACCCCGATGTTGCCCTCCTGGAAGTGGTAGAAGCAGATGTAGCCCTTAGAACCACCCAGTCAGCCCTGCTAGGCAGAGAAAGCCACTTGATGAAAGGCACAGACCTGCCTGCTAAACCCAGAGACACTGAAAGGAAGATGGGAAGAAAAGATGAAACCATCAGCAACGGCAACTGACAGTTTGGCCCAACCTACCCAGGGACATCTGGGGTCTTTGGAGAGGCACCACGGGCAACTCTAGGCCCGGAGCTGGGGACAAAGGCCCAGCCCACTTTACACTGGGAGGAAGGTGAAGGGGCTGAGGACAGAAGGATGAGAAGCCTGTAACTGCAGCTGGGACCAGGGTTGCCTCTGAGGACCAAGAAGCAGGGCAGAGCTAGAGATGGGACAGGATCAAGAACAAGGGGGCTTACCTTTGAGGACCAAGGAGCGGAGGTGTGGCAGGTTCCCCGGCACCTGGGCCAGGGTGGCTTCCAGCAGTTGAGGGTCCTCGTGGGTGCTCAGCCGTAAGAACTCTACCTGCAGCAGCTGCTGGTGGTGCTGGGCACACAGGTGCAGCAGCTGGTGGCAGCCCTCGGGGTACAGGTCCAAATTCAGCCGATTCCCAGCCAGGAAGGGAGGTGCCCCAGGTCCTGCATCCACAGACTCCACAGCAGGTCTTGGAGCATCTTTTGAGGCAGCTGCAGCTTCTCTGGACTCCAGCCCCTCCGCCGCTGCAGCCATCACTCAGGGATGGTCCTTGGGGGCCAGACATGTCCCAGCTTGCCAGGCAGACCTGCTCAGACAGGGCCCAAGGAGGCTGCTAGAAGCAGAGGGAGGAATAGGCAGGAGTGGGGGCTGGGCCCCTCCTCCCCATCAGGGGAACGGGGACCCTGGCTAGGGATGGGGAGCCCTTGAGCTGGACAGAGTGACCCTCCCCGCACAGGGGAGCCCACTGAGGGAGGAAGAGGAGTGAGGTACCACTCTCTAATTCTGAAATCTGGCCAGGTGACCACCTAGGCCTGACAAGTCACCCAGGCTGTCCCCCTGCTCTGGTGATAAGAACCCATGTTCCTTAATTCATTTACTTGTGATACTATGGACTGACCCCAGGGATGTTCTACTACTGAGCTACATCCTAACCCCTTTCTATTTACTTATTTTTTTAAGTTGCTCAGGATGGCCTTCAACTTGCAATCCTTTTTCCTCAGCCTCCCGAGTCGCTGGGATGACAAGCTGTGCCAACCCGAGAGCCCGCCTTCAACCTTCACACCCATCAGCTCTGGGGGGCCCAAGATCCCAGAACGTTGGAGCAGTGAGGGAGGAAGCCAGTGATCCTAGGCTCAGACTCCACTTAGCAGCCACGGGAGGAGGCTCTCCCACCGCCATTCCAGTTCACCCCTCCGTCCGCTGGAGGAGGCGGTGCAGGGAGTATTTAGGGTTCCGCAGCCCTGCCCTCTCCGCAGAAAACTTCCCGCCGCCTCGGGCGCCTATACCTGGGCTCCAGGCTGAGCGCGTCCCGAGTGCCAGCCGTTCCGCGCCGGGATTCCCGCCCGCGCGCTTCCGGGCGGGAGGGACGCCGGGCCCGGGCCCGCCCCCTCCAGCCCCGCCTTCCCGGTCTACGCCGCAGGCCGTCGACCTCCCCTGCCGAGAGTCTGCGCCCCGGGGAAGGCCGGCTGCCGGGCAGTGTCGCCCGGGACCCCGGTGCATGTCAGGGCAGCGTTTCTCGGGGGAACTCTTGGCCGATCGCAGATCGCAGCTGCGCTCCACACTCATCCCTTGCTAGACACTGGAAACCTGGCATGCCCGTCTCCAGTCAGCCCCAAGGCCTTTCTCCAGGAAGCCTTCCAGGACCTCCTCTCAGGTCCTACAGAGATCTAACTCGGCCTCTGCTCAGATGACCCTCCTAAATTTATGGGCATCATTCTGGGCCAGGTGCCCCAGGCGCACGGTTGCCTGATGCTGCCTCCCTAAATCCTCCTGTGAATATCACAAGGGAGGAAAAGCAGGCTCCTAGAGATGAGATTTTGTCCAAGCAGGTGAGTCTCAGTGCCTCCCCCACCAACCATGAGCCCCCCCATTGAGGATGGGTCTGTGCTTCTTTCACCCAGCATGCTTGTCAAGTACAGAAGATGGTCTGGAAATGAACAAAGCTTCTACTACCAATTAACCATGTTACATGCACCATCTTCACTGCACCCCCTGAGCCACCACCATCCCACCAATGGGGATGGGCAGTCTCCTACAGGACTCCCTGCTTCCAATATTCCCAGCCCCTGCCTCGCATTGTTTCTCCCAAAGCTGTCAGAGGGATGATTTAATTTTAATTTTTATTTATTTATTTATTTATTTTAATATTTATTTTTCAGTTTTCGGCAGACACAACATCTTTGTTTGTATGTGGTGCTAAGGATCGAACCCGGGCCGCACACATGCCAGGCGAGCGCGCTACCGCTTGAGCCACATCCCCAGCCCCTAATTTTTATTTTTAAAATATTTTTTAGCTGTAGTTGACACAATATCTTTCTTTCTTTGTGGTGCTGAGGATTGAACCCAGGGCCTCACACATGCTAGGCAAGCGCTCTACCACCGAGCCACAACCCCAGTCCCCAGAGGGATGTTTTTAAAACTCAATCACAGGACAGTAGAGGGGGCAGAGAGAGAAGAGGGGAGGGGAGGGGAGGGGAGGGGGGATAGTAGAGGATAGGAAAGGCAGCAGAACACAACAGACACTAGTATGGCAATATGTAAATCAATGGATGTGTAACTGATGTGATTCTGCAATCTGTATATGGGGTAAAAATGGGAGCTCATAACCCACTTGAATCAAAGGGTGAAATATGATATATCAAGAACTATGTAATGTTTTGAATAACCAACAATAAAAAAAAAAAAAAAAAAAAAAACTCAATCACAGGAATATTGTTCAGCCTTAAGAAATCAACTTCTGATACATGCTATAGAACAGATAAACCTTGGAAAATGTAGAATAAAAGAAAAAGCAAAAGGAACAAATCCTACATGTTTCCCCTTTTATGAAATGCCTAGTCAAAAATCATAGAAACAGCAGAATGGTGGGTGTGAGGGGCGGAAGAGTGCAGTAGGTATAGCTTCAGTTTGGGATGATGAAAAATGTTCAGAGATGGATTATAGTGATGGTTATGTAACAATGTGAATGCATTTAATGGTACTAAATTGTACACTTAAAAAATGGTTAAAATGGAGCTGGGCGCAGCGGTGCAGGCCTGTAATCCCAGAGGCTTGGAAGGCTGAGACAGGAGAATTGCGAGTTCAAAGCCAGCCTCAGCAAAAAGTGAGGCACTAAGCAACTCAGTGAGACCCTGTCTCTAAATAAACTACAAAATAGGGCTAGGGATGTGGCTTAGTGATGGAGTGCCCCTCAGTTCAATCCCTGGTACCAAAGAAAAAAAGGTTAAAATGGCTAGATGAGGTGGCCCACAGCCCATGGCTGTAATCACACTGACTTGGAAGGCTGAAACAGGAGGATCCCAAGTTGGAAGTCAGCCTGAGTAATTTAGTGAGACCTCTGGTAACTTTAACAAAACCCTGTCTCAAAAAAATAAAAAGGGCTGGGGATGTGCCTCAGTGGTAAAGTACCCTGGGTTTAGTCCCCAGTACTAGAAATAAAAATAAAATGTTAAAGGGATTTTGGGTGGGCTGGGAATACTCAGTGGTTCAGTTAAAGGGGTGGGCTGGGAATACTCAGTGGTTCAGTGTTTGCTTAGGTTTAAAAATCACATCCTACCACCTCCCCATACAAATGGCTTCCCTTTGGAATTGCCAAGGCTCCTCATTGCCAAAATGGTCTCCCTATTTTAGCTCAGTTATGGGACCTTGAGCAAGAAAACCCTTCTGCATCCATCCTTCCTCCTCTGAAATGTAGGTAAGTACTGGGGGACTTAAATGTGGGGCTCACACACCAGCCAGTAAGGCACTATACACAGGAGAGCTTGCGCTGTAGTTGTGAAGCCATAATTAGGCAGGCAGTCAATATAGACAGGTAAATCAAATTAGGTCAGATCAAGGAGGCCAATTTTGAGTGAGTCCAGCCAGAAGGAGACTGTCCCAGGAGGGATTGAAATGTTAATTCCTTCAGAGCCATTGCTCTAACCTGTTGCTAAGGTAACCAGTCCCAGGAATTGCCCCTCCCTACTATAAGGAGCTGTAAGGTTGTTAAGTGTCCTGTGCTCTCCAGCCATTCCTGCCCTTCCCCCTTCAGTCCACCAGTGTCCCACCTTTTGGCCATCCCACCAGCATTCCTGGGCCTAGTCACGGACACAGGAAGGAGACAGATAAGGGGAAGAGAGCAGAACAGAGGAAGCCTAGGACACAAAAAAAAGGGCAGAAGACCTCGCTTCTTGGGATACCAGCTATGGCCCCCTTCTCCCTCCAGGGAGAAGTCTGTTAACCCTTTTTAAATAGACCCTACCCTATATGCTTGCCTCAGTGTGCTTCTCTAATATTCAAACTTCAACATGTGGAGAAACAGAGCTCGTCACCGATAACCGGTGGTATAGGGGAGCACTCCCAAGGCTGGCGCTGTCACTCACTATCCCCTGCCACCTTCCAGCCTTGGCTTCTGATCCCTCTGCGGGGTCCCCGCCCCAGGGAGCTGGGTCAGCCTTTCTCATCTCTCAGCCTCAGGAAAGCTTTCCCAGGCTGTCCAGACTCCTTATGACCCTCTCGCCGGGATGGCCTCTTCTGTCCTCACACAGGCCCAGCCTGTTCCCGCTCAAGACCCCAGTGTAGCAGAATTCCAAAGGGGCGAGTGAGTAGCATGTGCTGACGACCACGTGGACACTGTAGTCAGTTCTCGGCCCACAAGGGGACCGGTCATTCTCTGGGACCACGCTCCCAGAGGACGTGGGTGACGGGGCCTCAGGACTGTCCCCGCCTCGTGGGCTCGCGCTCTCCCAGCCGGCCGTCTGACTCACAGGGCACGGCGGGGCAGGGGCTGCCTCCAGATAGGGCGCGGGTCACTAGGCGCGAGGCGGCCAGCCTACCTCTTACGCCCCGGGCCTCCGCCAAGGAACGGAGCCGCCCGCGCCCGCAGTCGGGCCGGGCCCACGTGCCGGGCCTGGCCCGTGGCGCACGGCACTTCCGCCGCGGTGCACCACGGGACTGTAGTTCGCCGGCTAAGGGAGCGGCCAAGCGAGGCGGCCGCGCTGCACGACGGGGGCCGCAGGCGCCGCGGGGCGTGCCGGGAGCGCTGGGCGCCGACGGACACGCCGCCCCGCACGCCGCCGCTCGGGTTCCAGGGAGACGCGCTCATGCCCCAGGAGGAGCCGGCCCCGGAAGCGCTCTTGACCCTGCCGCGGCGACTGCCCAAGCGCGGATGAGGCTGTCTCCGGCCTGTCATCATTGGCCGAGCGCTCGTTACGTCATCAGAAGCGCCCCGCGGCCCGGAGGATTCTGGGTATCAGTTTACCCCCGCCCCTTGCGCCGGCGCCTTCCTTTCGCTCCCTGCCGCCGCCGAGGTCGCACGCGTGAGGCCAGTCCGCCGCCGCCGAGTGAGTGGGCCCGCTGGGCCCGGACCGCGGTCGGGGGCCGGGGCTGCGGGGCGGGCGGAGGGCGCGGGCCGCGCGGCCCCGTCGGGCGGGAGCCTCAGGACCAGGCCGCGCACGGCCTCCTCGGGCGGCGCGGTGGGGCCCGGAGGCCGGAGGCCGCCGGGGTAACGCCACCGCCGCGCCCTGTCTGCCCTCAGCAGCATGCGCTACGTTGCCTCTTACCTGCTGGCCGCCCTCGGGGGCAACGCCTCCCCCAGCGCCAAGGACATCAAGAAGATCCTGGACAGCGTGGGCATCGAGGCGGACGACGACCGGCTCAACAAGGTACGACCTTCGCCGCCCAAATGCCCCACCTGGCTCAAGCGGATGACCCGCTGGAGAAACGGAGGGCGGCCTGTGCCAGTTGGGATGATTATATGGGGTTAAAAAGTTTTTTTGCTGAGGTTGTGGCTCAATGGTAGAGTGCTTGCCTTGCACGCGTGAGGCTCTGGGTTCGTTCCTCATAAAGGTTTTGTGTCCATCTACAACTAAAAAAAAATTAACTTTTGTTTTCTTTTTGTAATTTTAGATGGACGGAAAGCCTTTTGTTTTGGTAGTTTATGTGGTGCTGAGGATGGAACCCGGTGCCTCACGCATGTTAGGCAAGCACTCTGCCACTCAGCCCTAGCCCCCACCCCCGTAGGCGCAGTGGATCTAACCCAGGGCTTCTTGCCCATTAGGCAGGCGCTCCATCGTGGGGCTATTTCCCCAGTCTAAAAAACAATTTAAAACAAAATTTTTTTTTCTATGCTGGGTGTTGAACCCTCCTTTTGAGCTACACTTCCAGCTCCTTTTTTGTTTGTTTTGGGTTTTTTTTTTTTTTTTGAGATAGGATCTCCTGAGTTGCTGGAATTACAGGTCTGTACCACTTGTCTTTTGGAACTGGGGGGTCGAACCAAGGGCTTTGTGAATGCAAGGCAAACGCTTTGCCACTGAGCTACATCCCAGCCCCACCCTGCTTATTTAAAATGTAATGTAAGTACTTAGTTTAAGCAAGGAGGCAATCTGTGTTATTTTTCCGGGGAAACTTTAGAATTCTGGCACTTGGTCTCAGTTCACAGTATTTCAGTTCCAATGGCTACCATGCTGGTCACTGTGGGTCTAGAAGCTGCAGGTTTTCTTGTGCCTGCCATCCCTGCTCTTGGGCCAGGATGCAGCAACTTGACTATGATAACTGACTGCTGGCTGTGGTTGTCTTGTTTAGGTCATCAATGAGCTGCATGGGAAAAACATTGAAGATGTCATAGCCCAGGGTGAGTTTATATGAAGGGACTTTCATTTTCATGTCCATCCTAATTCCTGCTGGTCAACCTATGGCCTGCCAGGTTTCGCTTGTGGACTAGAACACTGTAGAAGCCTGACCTGAGTGGGTGAGCAAGGCCTTCATGGACTCATGCCGGGGATGCTTCTGGACACTGATGAGTGGGTGGTAGGGGTTGCCCTCTACTCACACTGAGCCTGTCAGCCCTTGCCCAGGGGCCTGCCTGGCTTCCCACCTTTGAACCCTTTTCTCCAGGATTCCTCCAAAGCTGTGGAGCTCTTGCACACAGTTCCTGCTTCTCTAAGGGGTTGGGAGCAGGAACTGAGGGCCACAGGGTTCTGTTCCCCTTCGCTGAGCAGATGGTTTTCTGGTGGCATTAGACTGGAGCTGATGTAGCTTATTTGGAAGTTGTGTGGTTTCAGCAGTTCTGTCCCTGTTTATGTGACAAGCAAAGCCAGCTCAGCAGTCTGGTTTATAAGTTTACTGCTGGGGCCGAGATCTGGACACTTGGATAGTAGACTCCCTGAACAGTTGTAAACATGTTTGTCCAGCTTATGTCCAAGGCCTAATTATAAGATCAAGTTCTTGGGTAGAAAACCTCCCTTTGTGGGTCATGGTAGTGAAAGCAGAGTCCCTGACCATGAGTGTCACTGAGTTCTTGGGCAGGGCTGCAACATCAAGTCCTGGAGAAAAGGGAAGCCTGTGGCACTGGCACTGTGATGGAACCCTGTTGTGTTGGGCACGCTAGAGTATGTGGGTGAAATGAGCTTCCTCAGGTCACTTCACCCCTGCAGAATCACCTTCCTGCCTGGGAACCTGCTCTGATCTCATCTCTCTGCTTTTTATAGGCATTGGCAAACTTGCCAGTGTGCCTGCTGGAGGAGCTGTGGCTGTTTCTGCTGCCCCTGGCTCTGCAGCTCCTGCTGCTGGATCTGCCCCTGCTGCAGGTAAGGGAGGCCTGGAGAGTGGGAAGGGGGCTAAGGCTCGGACTTGATGGGGTCTCTCTGGCAATCTGGTCATGCAGGTATGCTCACCATGGTCTCCTTTTCCACAGCAGAGGAGAAGAAGGATGAGAAGAAAGAAGAGTCTGAGGAGTCTGATGATGACATGGGATTTGGGCTATTTGATTAAATTCCTGTTCCTCTGCAAATAAAGCCTTTTTATGTATCTTGAGTGGCCCGTGAGCACAGTGTCAAGAGCATGGGGCAGGTGGGGCTTGGCAGTGTCTAGGGAGTGAGGGCTGGAGGAGTCAATCCACCTTGGGTCAGAGGACTGTCAGGCCCAGTGAGGGACAGTCTTGCTACTTTCAGGTAACACCCAGGAAAATTTCTTCAGAAATGTGAATACCAGAGAAGCAAATTGAGATGCAGTGTTGGGGTGGTGTCTCGTGCTCTGCTGTAAGGTGCTGGGTGACAGGTCAAATGGCCCCTGGGTTTCACAGGCCACTGCTCTCCTGTACAACTTGGGCAGCTGCTGAAATCCCTGGGGTCTGTTTTCCCTGCTATGTGGTAGGAACCCTGGCTCATTAGTACCTTCAGTCCTAGCCCCTGGGCCTTGAGCTTTTGCCCACCCGTGACAGGCCTCAGGAGATATGCTGCCCTCCCTCTCCAGGCACAGTAGTGCATCATGTACCGATACATCTTAGACTTGGAGCTGGGGATACTGCAGTGTGAAAGTACATTTTAGTCAGGGATTGAAGGGTGGGGTGAGGGTGGCACTCAAGCACTGAGCCACATTCCCAGCCCAATTTTGTCTATTTAGAGACAGAGTCTCAGTTGCCTAGCACCTTGCCAGTTTCTGAGGCTGGCTTTAAACTTGCAATCCTCCTGCCTCAGCCTTCCCAGCTGCTGGGATTATAGGCATGCGCCTTGGCACCCATTGTGTTTTGAGAAGAAAAAATGTGAGATGAGAGCAGCCTTTAGAAGAGCTGGAAACCCCTGTCCTGGAGGGAAAACCCCTGTACAGGGGGTGCATATGGGGGTGGGGGGGTGCAAGGCCCACAGGAGTTCCTGGGATGGGGAGAGCTTTTTGTGTGTGGTGTTAAGGATTGAACCCAGAACCTTCTACAGTTTGTTCAAGCTGATGACAAACTGCTATGTAACTTCAGCCTACTGAGTTGCTGGTATCACAGGTAATACTACTACACCCAGCCTCAATTTGCTAGGGATCAAACTCAGCTCTTTGTGCATGTTAGGTAACCACTCCACCACTGAACTATACCTCCAGTTCTAAATTGTTTTTTTAAAACATCTCTTGCTGGGTGTGGTGCATCCCTGTAATCCCAAGGCCTCTGGAGGCTGAGACACAAGAATTGCAGGTTTGAGGCCAACCATAGCAATTTAGGGAGGCCCTAAGCAACTTAGCAAGACCCTGTCATGGTAAAAAGGGATGGGGATGTGGTTCAGTGTTTGTAAAGGACCCCTGAGTTAAATTCACAGTTGCCAGTGGACCTTTATTTATACGCAGTGCTGAGACTCCAACCCAGTGTCTCACACATGCTAGACAAGTGCTCTACCACTGAGCCGCAAACCCTGTTCCTGTATTTGCTTTTTGCTGGGCACTATGGCAGCAGTGATTCGCAGGAGGCTTGCAAGTTCCAGGCCAGCCTGGGCAGCTTAAACCCTGTCTTGAAGGCCCATGGATCAGGGTGCAGTTCAGTTCCTGCCTGAACCTTAAAGGGAAGGGCTCTGTGCCCAGAGGGCACCAGGGGAGCCAAACAATGCCCCCGGGGGCTGTCATCAGGCGGGCCCTGGGAGTTCATGCTGAGGGGGTGGGCCACAACCCTTGCCAGAATTCCAGGAAGGGCCTGCCTGTTCCTGGCTTACAGCCTCCCAGAGGCCTGCAGGGAAATGTACCCAAAACAGCCTGATCCTCTGTAGAAACGGGGGTAGAGGTCTTCCTGAACTGGGCAGCACCAACCCTAAGGACAGGCCTTGGATCAGGCTGTGGGAAAGGGCTTTGGTGCTGCTTCCCCTGCAGTTGCCACCCTGAAGAACCTGGGAAGCTCTTCGTATCGCATCCTTGGATCCTGCTGCCCCTAGCAGGATCATCCAAGGGAGTCCAGGCGCTGGGTGAGGGTGTCTCCTGCCAGGTCATGACCACCAGGCTACCTTCTCACCACCCCCACCCAGCTCCCTTTCCCTGCTCAGTGGGTTTGCTGCTCTGTACAGATATTCCAATATTCAAAACATTTGGGCGACGTTTTTAAGTCAAATACAGTCACTGGTCAAAGAGCCCCTGTTCTCCTCAATCCCCACCTTGGGCCTTTTCATGTGCTGTTTGCCATGACCTCCCGGTGCCAGGACTTGGGTAACTGCTTATTTACAGAGATCATCGGCCCCTTCGTAGGGAAGGCCCGAGCATGGCCTCAATTGTCTCATTTTAAGCCGCGCGCATGAGGCCGAGCTGGTTTGACCCCACCGCTCTACCGGTTCCTGCGCTAACTCCTGAGTACGGGACGGGACGGCAGCAAGCACAGGGGCTGAGGACGGGAGAGCACGACCCCAGAGGGCCCCAAGCCCCAACCCTCCGCGGCTCTGGCTCCAGCTGTGTCCAGAGCCGAGCTCCCCTGGGGAGTGAGTGTTCCCCGGAAGACCCGCACACTGCCGCCATCCCAACCCAGACCAGCCCCTAGTCTTGGGGTGAGGCGAGGTGAAGGCTGATGCTGGAAGCCAGCCAGCCTGGCGGGCCCCACAGTCCGAGGAAGAAATGGGAGCGGGGGCGGTGGGGTGACGTCACCTGGGTGCTCCGCCCCCTAGGGTAATTAGCGAAGGCGGGGCTGCCTCTAGTTAGACCCGCGCGGACCCCGCCGCGAGAGGACTCCGGCTCAGACCCAGGTACCCAGCCCGGTGAGTGGCCAGGGTAGAGGGGCGGCGGGAAGGGGACGAGGCTGAGGTGCGTGGAATGCGGCTGTGTCTGTGGGCTCGCGTCCGGCATCGGATGTTTATGGGTCAGCGGGTCCTGGGGCCCGCGGCCTGCGAGGCCGAGGTTTTTCGGTCCCGGTGGCTGCTGTCGTGCGTCCCTGCCCAGCTCCTCTGTGTCCGGGAGGGTCGTGGACCCCAGAGGAGGAGGCGGCAGAAACCGGAGCTCCTCTCGCGGGTACCCAGATCCGTACGAGGCTCGCGAGCCCTGCGCTGGGCCTGGGCTGGACCGCCCCACGCGACTAGGCTGCCGTGTGCCCGGCCGCCGCCCGAGGTGCGGGGCAGCGGGCGGGAGGCCGGTGAGGCCGCGGTAGCTCCTGGGGGCCCCGCAGATGGCTTCGCGGCGCAGGTGTCGCGGCCGGGCCGGGGGAGCCCAGCAGCCGGGCGGGGGCGGGTGGGCGGAGCCTCGGGGCACGGCCGTTCCCCGCGCGCTCGGGTTGGGCCGTGAGCTCCGGCCCCGCCCCCGGCCGCACTAAAACGCCGCCTCCGCCGCGGCTCTGCGCAGTGTCTCCGCCTTCGCCGGCGGAGACCCGGAGCTCAAGCGACAGCGCGGCGGCCGCCCGCGGATCCTGGAGCCGCGATGTTCCCCAGGGAGGCCAAGTGGAACATCTCGTTCGCGGGCTGCGGCTTCCTCGGCGTCTACCACATCGGCGTGGCCTCCTGCCTCCGTGAGCACGCGCCCTTCCTGGTGGCCAACGCCACGCACATCTACGGCGCTTCAGCCGGGGCGCTCACGGCCACGGCGCTGGTCACCGGGGCCTGCCTGGGTGAGCGGGGCCGCGCGGGGCCAGGGTAGGGAGCTGGTGGGGAACGCGCGGGGTCCGGCGGGAAGGAGGAGGGGCCGGGCGGGATGCCCTTCGTGCGCGCACTGCGCCCACCCCCTCCCGCAGAGGGAAGCTGGCCAGGCGGCGAGTGCAGTGGGTGCGGTGGAGCGGGATTTCTGCCTGGGCCGGGGGCCACGGCAAAGGGTCCGGTGCGGGGAGCTGGTCTGGGGGCAGAACCTGGTTTGTTTTGCTCGGAGGGTGCCCAGGGACTGGGGTGGGGCCTGGCCTGCACCAGGGCATTGCTGCTGTGCGCCTCGGGCCCGCCTCCTGGGAGTGAAGGTTGTGGGCGGGCAGGTGCAGCACTGCTGTCTATTGGAAAGAAAAGTCGTGGGCGGGACGTGAGAGTCGGAGGAGGGCCTGAATCTCCCTGGTTACTTGGTGCCAGCGGTCACCGTGTCCTGGGTCTTTGCAGT